CTCTTGGGCAGCCATGTAATCTCCCTGGGCCTCACTTCCCCTATCTGAAAGATAGGAATAATATTTCCTCACCTCACAGAAACATTGTAAAGATAAACCCCTAAATACTGAAGCAGTGCTCAAAGCCTGCAGTGATGGTGACTGTGTCAGATACTTACACTAATAGCTTTTCCAAGTCATCCCATACTAGCCAGTGAGACATTCAGGAAAGAGCCCTCCTGAGCCCCTGAACTACCTTTTCCTCCCTCCTTCCAGTTACACGGCACAATCTCTGATGGGATTATTAATATCTATCTCAGTCACCACTGTGCAATTTTGGTGCAGGGCTTTGTGGCAGGGTTCATTTTTGTGATGTCCCCCTGGTGGCCCAACATGGCATTACTCACCCAGCCAAAGGGTCTCTCAGAAGGTCAGTCACAACCTTTCACAGAGTCCAGGCTTGTGAAACCTTAGCCCTGCAGCTAAGCCACTGTGTTCAGTTCTGCCCGTTCTGGAGTGTCAAAGGCCCCAAACCAGGGAAAACAGGGTGTGACGTTATCTGATAAAATATGACCATGTAGATCATTGTTGCTATCGCTGTTATATACTTGCAACAAATCTTGTACAAAGTATGACAAGGTGTCTATGGAAAGGTTACAATGTACTGACTATAATTATGCTATTTTTATGCATGTATCACTTTTGTATCTGAAGTAATAAATATTAACTCTATACCTGTATTTCAAATGTTTGGTCATGTGAAAACACCAACAAGGTATTTAGCCAGCATATTGTGAAGGAACTATCCAAGTTGAGTGGCCCATCTTGGAATATCACGGTTGGAAGGGACCTCAGGAGATCATCTAGTCCAACCCCCTGCTTAAAGCAGGACTAATCTCTAATTAAATCATACAACAGATTTTTGCCCCATATCCCTAAATGGCCCTCCTTAAGGATTGAACTTGCAACCTTGGATTTAGCAAGCCAATGCTCAAACCACTGAGCTACCCCCCCGCAAAGAACACTTAGCTCACAGGGAACAATAGGAGATGCCTATCTACAATTAATGGACTTTCCTATGATGGCCTCTGCTATGACTAAGCAAAATCATGCATGGACATGTGACTTGCCCATGCTACTTCAAACACCATCTTGTCACCTGTAATTTTCCATAGTGAGAACAATGGGATTCCCTTCACTTGGCAGAAGCTATAAAAGGCCCTGGAAACACCTCCATTTTGCCTCTTTCCTGCTCAAACCTCTAGACCAGGAGTCGGCAACCTTTCAGAAGTGGTGTGCCAAGTCTTCATTTATTCACTCTAATTTAAGGTTTCGTGTGTCAGTAATACACTCTAATGTTTTTAGAAGGTCTCTCTCTAGAATATATAACTAAACTATTGTTGTATGCAAAGTAAAGAAGGTTTTTAAAATGTTTAAGAAGCTTCATTTAAAATTAAATTAAAATGCAGATCTTATCAGTTTAGGGTGATCCTTGCCCTTGCTTTTCCTTGCTGAGTTTTCCAATGTCTGGCACGTATTTGGATAGTTTAAGCTGCACACAGGCTTCTGAGAGATCAGTTGTTAACCAGCTCCGAGAGGGACAGAGGACAGATTTCATGTGTGAAAATACCTGTTCACACAGGTATGTGATCCAAATGCTGAAAGCATTGCAAATGCAATTTTCTTCAAACAGTTAAATTTCACTGGCAGGGACGTCCAGCAGATCACAATAGAGGGCCCATGATCTCTCTCGGTACCTTTAAGTGCACTCCGCAGATCTCCAAACTTTGATGCCCACAATTCTGAGCTTTTTAATGGAATAAGCTGCATTTCAAAATCTTCAACACCCATCCACTTAAATAAAGACAAATCCAAGTCACTTTTGTTGAACTTTTCAGGATTAATTAGAAAAGAAAGCATTGGGTCAAATCGCTGGAAATCTTGAAATCTGTCAGAAAATTCTGATTCCAGTTCTTGCATATACATTCCAATCTTATCGACACTGACAGTGCAACGTGTTGATAGATCTTTTATGTGTTGGAAGTAGCAGAAAGTT